CACACACCTGAGACAAATTATTCACAATCAGCGCCAAAGACCAGTCGCATACCATTCTACTTCATTAACTCAACCGAATAATGTTCTCATAAGAGCCAATACATGACTGGAAAGGTAACTATTTTTCATCAATCCTGGGGAGTAGACCTATTAGCAAACGGCGGCATCACATTCTTAGGTAGCGGGCTTGAGAGGGCTATGGAACAGGATATTGGTGAAAGAGGAGGCTCGAAATTTAATGGACAATATTTTAAAATTTATACCGAACTATTTTAAGTGAATCTCTTGCCGTTTCATTTTATATGTGTGAAAATGTATGAGAAACCTAGGATGCTCGTGAATAAACTCAAACTGTGGTGTTGTACATTTTTCTGTACTTATTTTATTACAATTTATCAAGTTGAAAAGGAGTATTGAAACGCCATATAAACGCATGTCTTTTTACTTCATTTTTATTTATTGAATACATACAAATGTACAAACGAATTCCAGGAAGAGGGCCGTGGTCATACAAAGGTTGACTGGGAAATATTAGAAATGGCAAAGATGGGCAGCTGTGGAGCGGTTCGAACCCGGGATTTTGCGGGTACTACTTTGATGACTTTAGACCACCACAAAGTGGACAGGTAGACTATGTGTACGGGACAGACACAGATAAACTGCCGGTCAATGTGTATGGCGGTGAACCATTTCACATGACCAGGCTCATCATCAATTATTATCTGATGCCCAGTCTGAGATATGTGGCTGGTTCACCGTAAGCACAACCAAATTCAATCACAAAAAGTTGCATGAAATTCAACAGTTATTTAACACACGAGAACCCACACCTTGTCCACAGGCACAAATTTTTAGCATACCCGATGAACTTCGAATGTGAACAGTAACAACATTTGACTATCACAAACATTACGGACCGGTGATCAGACAGTACCGTGTCAGGTTGAGGGACTCCGAGTTGCGCGAACCGCAGAGACAGATCGAATAGGAGATCATAGAGAATTCAGTTGTTTGAGGTCACGAGTGAGAGAGACAAGGTGATGTGAAACGATGGAACAATCGCCCTGTATATTACTATGTTACACACAAACTGCGCACAACTATCCCTACTTTGGTCGTCTCGATTTCCATTACGAACAATGTTGATATCTCGTCTGATTCAGGTTTGTGGTCAAGTGGACATACTTTCTGGTCATGGGAGTTAGCACGACCACAATGAAATGTAAAGATATTGAAAGCCGCATTTCGGGATCAGTGATGCTCGCAAGCGACCAAGCCAATGGTTCTCCACAAGGATAAAGTTTTGAAGATCGTTTAAATAACCTCTGAATGTACCGCGGTACCAGGAGATCGACCTAAAGACTAAATCTCAGTGTAGATTATACATATCTCACCGACACGAACTAAAATTGCATGCTCATTCTATGTACTGGTGGATCAGACACATTTATGAGGTCACGAGGACCTGCTGTTCAGAGATGGCAACCGATAATCCAAGCCGCGAGACTTGGAATGGGGAACCTCATAAGGCCCCGCCGCTAGGTTAAGCGTGGTATTGAACCGGACGACGGCAGAACTGCCTACCAACAAAATTGGGCGGCGGTGGCGGGGTTCGAATCTCGAACCATGGGCTCCAAAGCTCGCCGTTAACAGTAACTAAGCCACTGCACAAACACCACCTAATCAGAATAAACTTAAGCACGATGGGATAAAGAGATGTGCGATTATTGTATTCGATTGAAGCTGAATTCCAAAGAGGACAAAACGGTTATCTGGGGCTCTTTGTAGAAACTGCAACTATTTGACTTCTATCATTCCGAACGATCAACAATAGGCATATATTCTGAACAGCAACCGGGACTGGAAGCTGAATTGTAACAGCCTATTGCTTTCAGAAATAACGCCAACTTGATGTGATCCTCACATGATGGTTGGAAAAGAGAGTAATCAATACGAGGAGTGCGTCTGGCAAGGAAGCAAACATGATTATCTTATCATGTGATAGAGAACGTATTGTGGGGCTGATTGGCATGGTTGGGACTGGTTGTCCTTCCTTTACACCTCGTGAATTGCTCCTATAAGCCCAATCGTCTCAAATAGCCTCTGTGGGAGTGTTTTTCCACCAAAGTGCGAAGACGAAAAGCCGACATCCGGGATTCTAACCGGGTTGGTGAACCACTGATAATTCACCTCAGTGAGTTGACTGAAAACCCCGATATGAAACAAGCCGATCGGAGGCGAACGAACCAAGAACATACGTTCCTGACTGCGGCAGTAGCCACTGGCTCGATTTGGCATCGTGAACGTTTGATCCCTTTCAAAGAACGTATGATCCGAAGAACTGGACACCAGCTCCCAATGGATTGCCCGCCTTGTGGAACAGATTTTGGCTACCCGAAGGCCCCGGGCTGTAAATTCACCGAGAAAACTCACCTGCTTTTGGCTGGGCAACCTGTCTATGTTCGGCCAACTATCACCTTATGGACCTTGTTTATTGGTAAACCGATTGCTCTACAGTGCATTGTTAAGCATAGTGTGAATTGTGTATAAATAAATCAACGGCTATCTCAGTTAATTAAGTGAATAACGCAAGGATCGAAAATCTGATGATAAGTATGCAACAATGCCATCACATTTCAAAGCCCAACGATCGAATTGACAACATAAGGAAGGCCTGAATAGGACGTTGCTGATAATATGATTCATATTCAATATATTGAGTTTCCGTAAGACGTAAGTGGAACTCGGACAAAAATAAACCGCTTCACATCCATCGTATGAACTGGCGTTAAGTTTACCGGACGAACGGAACCACTGAAAACCTGTTCCTCCGCATTTCGATTGACCGCACTGTTTCTTGTGTTAGACAGCAACAACCACCAACAAAACAAGCATCCCCCCTTCCTTGGTTGGCTGGCCACATCAAGTACACAACACGGTGTGGTATACTAAACTATTGGATAAAATATGCAAGCAATCCAGACAGTCGAAAGCCTTGTCGAGAGCAATTGATTGATGCGCGACATGCTATGCGGTTCGACACGGGCTCAAGCATGTAGGGAGCAGCAGCCGATGTACGCACAAGTAATTACCGTTAATTCGATTAAAATAGGCCACAGCCCATGACGCTTATAAGTCAAGTCCGGGCTGTTGTCTAATTTGTGAAGTGCATGAAATTAGTCACCCCGTTTCATATGTAAAAAAACATAGAGAATAAAGATATGCGCGCACCGAGGACCGAAAACTGACAAATAAAGAGAAATATCTCGTGAGTGGATCGAGGGATCAAGTATGCAGTTTGTGACAGTCCTTTTTCACGGCTTGGTTTATCTCACTCGGCTGCTAAGCCGCGTGATTTGTGTCAGTTTGATTGATTTTAGACAAAATTATCAAAAAAAAAAACAATTTACCGGAATCAATCAATATTGAACGGAATCACATAGGTTTAATTCGAGATGAAAGACAATTAGAAAATCTACTGAGACGAGTTGGGATTAGTTTTGATTTGTGTGTTTAAATAATCCAACTGGAGAGTAGAGAAATAGATCAGTGTAAGTGTAAGAGATAACTTTGATCCCACCATACTCTCTTATTTGCGTGTGAGAGTGATTAGAGTACACAGTGAGGGATTGCGTCACCGCATGCTACTAAGTGACTGAAAGTTGAGAAAACTGTTCGGGGTACATAAAAAGAATATTTTGGCTCCCGTACACCAAATGTGCAATCGGCACACAAATCAGAGGCTACCGTCAATGTAGTGGAAAACAACCAAAAAAACCCCATCAATGTTGTGCTTATCGTTGTTTTGCATTATGTTGTCTGTACCGCTCGGGTACCCGAACCTATCTTTTCTACTACTATTGTTTTTTTGCATTGGCATCGTGCTTGTTGACAAGAAAAAGAACGTAGAGTGACTGTGGCAGGGTTCGAATACACGAACTACAATCGAAAGAGTTGACAACAAATATACTTAAACGCGAAAAGTGCCTACAGGGCATTGTGAAGGTGGCTGCTAATTGACCTCAGTTGTTGATGGGATAAAACAAAACTTGACTTAGTTCGATAGCATAGAATCCAACCGGGTGAGGAGGATGCAAAACCCCGGGCAAATCGACTGTATGTGATACAACTCAGCCACAGTGTTGACAACTACCAGCCCCCGCCTCCCTCCCATGTCGGTCCTTGCCACTCCTTGATTCGGTCATACGGGATGTGACCAGATAGACGTCTAACGGTTCAGATGGTCAATTTTTGGATTTGAGTCCTGACATAGGGACACAAAACGTACGCACTGCTGACGAGTCCCAGATAGGACGAAACAGCTGCCCAGTGCTTTTTGTCGGTTGTCTCAAACATGCCCATCTTTTTACAGTTCAATTCGCATAATATATCTCACCGAAACAGACTAACTAACTAACCGACTAACACGGATTGTGATTGCACCCATAAATATTCCGTACTTGTTTTGAATAGAGCAAAGGACACAACTAAAATCTTGTGTTTACTGTTTGCTGTTCAGTTGGATCAAACCTTTGGCTACAAGATAAGAACTGGCTTAGAACATTGGAGTCAGATGCAAAGTTTGTGCACCTGATGAACGATCAAATTCGCCTAATCGATAATATTTCGCGATCGGATCTACCTTGAATCATGTGAAAACATAGTCAAGTTTTCTATTCATTGTTTTGAGTACTAGTTGGATTGGATAGGTTATCAAAATAGTGCGAATGAAAGAATCGGGAGCTGAATATTTCTAGGAAAGCGTTTTGCCTCCGAATGCATCAGTATGGTCGGGGGATGGGAGTTTTGGGTTTCGGCTGGTCACCCTTCTCTTGCACATCGCGAAATGCTCCCATACGACCATGCGTCTTAAATAGCCAATTCTGCTGAGAAAGCTCTACTAACTGCCTTCTCGTGGCGGTGTTTTCGCACCAAAGCGAGAGGACGAAAAGCCGATATCCGGGGCTATGACCGGGTTGGTGGACCACTGGTAGTTCACCTAAGTGAGTTAGCCAAAAGCCCGAATTCCAAACCAACCAAGGGGAAACGTACAAATGACACATGTTCCCGGTTGTGCAATGGTCACCGGTCTGACTGGGCTCCATTGGGCTCCCAATGTATTACGGTTTCCACACACCACCCAGCTGCCTTACGGGTCCGGCTTTGGTTAGTCGAAGGATCCGATTGTGAACTCGCCAAGAAAATTCACCTGCCTTGGCCTGAGCAACCTGCAAATCCTGTAGGATTTTTTCTTTTTATTAAGATTATTTTACCATGATTTGTTTGCACACAGTCTAGCTGCAAACGTGTGTGAAATATATAAGGAAAAAATTCTATTAACGAGAAACGGTTTCAGAGAACGCTGGGCCTCTCTTGGTCATCCATCTATGACACGATGACATAATTTCGCCTTAACAGCTTTATAGCACACATTCACACATGAACATACAACATGCACACTTTCACGCTAAACCGGTGAAGGAGGTACTTACGAAAACCTATTGACCAACTTATTGTAAAATAATGAAACATACCACAAGTATAAATATTTAATAAGGCAGCATAATGATAGAGGAGGAGTCCCATTTATAAAATCATATGAGTTTGATTTTGCAGAACCAGACAATTTTGCACAAAAGATGAAATAGGAATTGAGACGCAAGACTATGCACGTCTCTTGCGCCATTGCGACACCGAACAGGACATTACTCCCGGAGAAGCAACAAAACCTGTCCATCATCAAAACGGACCAAGTGATGTTCGGAGTCTAGGCACAGATACACACACACATATACACATACACACACGCACAATCATAAAACAATCAAGGCGAGTGACACCGTCACATACAATTGAGGCCATCAACGTCACCCGATAAAAAGGGAGTGCCAAATGAATTACAGGGTTGGTGACGGAGGATTCATGTGTGGGATTTATATAACAAATGTGAAACAGACTAACCTAATTGCGCAACTTCACTGACCACCAGGTCCGTGAGAAAATCGACCAGAGTCCCGTTGCATTCATGCAATCCGATTAACGAGCTGGCCACCTCTTCTTTGGTTTTGACAGGTAGTACCGTATCCAGCCAACCAGATAACAGCAAACTGTGCTCGAGTAGGAACTGCAGGGATGACGGATAGCAGACAAAAGGAGTGAGTGCGTGCGGAAACGCATGAGGAGATGGAATACGCATCGATTTGAGCGACGAAATACCAGTACAAACAAATCATGCATTTCACAATAAATGCGGACAAATGTAGAATGCGTGAAACAAAACGGCATAAGAGCGTGTGAATAGTCACCATTCTCATTACACAGTGAAATACAGTGAAGTGAACTTCACTGATCGCTAACAAGCACTGTTCATTTCAGTTCAGTTTGTACAACTATTAAGCACGCACTATAGTGCGCCCGTTTTGGCTGCTGTCTTTTGGCTGCTCATTTGGATGAACATTAGGAGAAAGGTAAGAAGGGTCGAAAGTAGGATCAAAGAGAAAATTTAGAATTTCAGTGAACTAATGGCACGGAGAAATTGATAAGATGCATTAACAAAACTGTTTACCACACTCAGCCATATCACTCAGTGTCTCTAACCATCAGGTAAGATCATTCCGGCCAGGGAGCCTAACGGGACCTATGTGACCCAGTCTCCTGGTTAGGGTTTTCATACCCTCATTCCAGGTCTTAGCTTGACCACCCTTGGCTTTTTTCCACTCACTACCGGCCTCGACGACCATCGCTCGACTTGGCAACCTGTCGCTGCGAGCTCAGAATACACAGAAAATAAGTGAATGTGTGAGGTGGACAGGAGCCGGATGGGTCTATCTCGACAGAGAGCGAAGAAAAACGAACATGTATATGATCAACACACAAAGTGCACAATTGATCTGTGGTGCATACACACAACTGTTCAAGCATTCTGGTCCGATAAGAAACGTCACTGCGGTCGGTTTGCTGTCCTACAATGAATCCCAAGCTGGAACTCAAGAGACACCTAATGCAGCGAATCGATGTGCGAATTGCCGTATGCTTTGTCTCCACGCCATGCGTCGACCCCTTCAACCCGAAGCACAGCGAATGGGACTAGGTTTGACAAATGATGGTTGAACATGCACAATGTCGTAATCAATGAAGCCTAATAATCTGTATTTGATGTAACAGCGATGATAGCAGTAGAAATATACTTATTGCGAACAGCGTGTGACGTTTATGACCGTCTTCGATTCTGTCTAATCTTTTTAGTCCACGAGTCAGGTGTGCCACCCAGGCGAATCCTATCTTTCACGAAATCCCCACAGCACAAACTAGAGAAATAGCTGATCAAAGTGTTCGAGCCAGTCCATAGATCAATGGTCGAACATACAGTCAAGGGGGATATAGCGGATAAGATCAATGCTCAAGAAAAGCACATGGATTCCTTCAATGTCCAATCGCTATTTACTAATGTACCAGTTCATGAAGTGATAAAAATCATCTGCGATCATGCAAACAAGGAACAGATTCGATTCAGCCTACCAGCATCCGTCCTTGAGCATATACTATTGCTCTGCATAACCTATGTGTCTTTCGATTTCCAAGGAAATGCGTACACACAAATCAATGGTTCCATTTCTTCTGTTCGCCGAGCTTGGCAATTTGTTTGCAAACGTTTCATCACCAGCCGAGGTGACACCTACA